CTCCTCCCAGGCTCTGGTGTCAGAGGAAAACTCTCAGTTCCAGGGGGTGAAAGCTGATGGCTGGAGCTCCTGCCTGGCACTCAGGCTCCCTGTACGTGCTGGTGCTGGCACGCGAAGCTCAGCGCTACACACGGGACAGGGAAAAGCAGGGAGCAACAGGGTCTTGTATCACCATCCGGGACATCTTCCTTATTCAAAGGGCTGTGTTTGAAACCTGGCACCGGCACATACAGAACATGTTGCATCTTTGCTGGTACCTCTTCAATCTGGTTTGCAAGACATCCTGGAGGATGTGACCTTGGAAGGCAGCGGAATATCGAACCTGCATAACAAGAGCATCTCCGCTCCAGTGGCAGCCTGTTGGGTACAGGGCAGTTAATAAATAATGAGGATGTCAAAGATAACAGCAGGAGAGTGGGAGCAGGTAACAGCCTTGCAGCCAGCTTTCTGACAGCCGCCTGGCAACGTCCAATTAAGGCGTTCAGCCCAGCGCCGGGACCGGGGAGCCAGGGTGCCGGCAGCCGGGCAGCCCACGGCACTGGGCTTGCAGCACATGCTGCCGAGAGCAAGGGATCAGGGGAACACTGCGCAATTCTGGGGAGCAAATCCCTCAGGAAGAGGAACACACCCGGCTGTGGCGCTGGGGCAGTGAAATGGGATGGCCAGGAGCAGCGCGGCCCAAGGTGGCTGGTGTGTGAAGGATGGTGACACCCTGCACAGGGCAGGGGAAGGAGACATTGCAGGAGCCAGTCAGATCAACTAAATATGGGACACACTTTTTTGGGACGTGCAAGAGAGGAGCACATTGGCCCTGGCCCTGTGCTGAGGGGCAGGCGCTGCTGGGGCAGCTCCTTGGGATTACGGTCCCTGCTCACCCGGGTGTTTGTTTCAAGGGTTGAATTACATCACACCACGATTCAAATATGAGGAATCTGACTGCATTTGAGGTCTAATTGATCTTCTGATGACTTTTTAAACATCTGCTAAGAGGGGGCAGCTTTCCAAACAGCAAAATCTACACCAAAATGGTCTTGATTTGAATAATAAGTATTCCATCCTTGTTTGGTAAATATACCCAGTGTTAATGGTGCTTAATGGTGCCTGTAATTGGTGTCTAAAGTTATTTAAAAATAAATTTACTAGAAAATAATTAGCAATTTTATAGTTCACTACTTCCTAATTTTGTTGATAAAAGTTTTTCAGTGGTTTTATCAGATGACACAATAGGGCTGTTCTCTGAAATAGCTTTTTTCAAACTAGCAGGAAATTGTGCACAGAAAATAAGATAAAAAAATTTTCCCCCTAATTTCTCTGCCTGGCAGCCAACTCTCTCTCCCCTTTTATTAACCACTGTTTTAGCCTTAATCAGCAGCAAGTGAAACTTCCCAGACATTGCTCAGGGATTTGTTCTTTGTGACCTTGGGAGTTCCAACCTGAGCTGCGAGGCCAGCGAGGAAAACTGTCCCCCACTGCAGGGACGTGTCCTGCTGTCCCCAGCTGGGTCTGGGGGGGCCGGTGGCTGGTCCCTGCCTGCAGAGGAAAGCAGAGGTTGTGCTCTCCATGGGTCCCTGACCTGATCCCACCCAGGGCATCTCTGGGAACATTGCCTGTCAAGCTGGGAAAACCCCCCCACCCCCCCCATGCCTGGGACCCTGTGGGGTGGGTGCTGGCCCAGGTGCTCCTGGTCCTGGTCCTGGTCCCAGTCCTGGTCCCTGCTGCGGCACGTGCCTTTCCCCAGCCCTTTTGGGTGGGTCAGCTGCTCATGGGGTGCTGGTGCTGCTGGGGGGAGGCGAGATAAACGGAGCAGAGAAATGCAGCTGCTACAAGGTTTTATTGTTCAGTGCTGTGGGTTCAAGTGTTTAGATCAGGATTTTCATGTTGTTCAGGTACAGAGTGACACGGACAGACAGACGCGTTTGGGAGGAGGTGACAGCACAGCAGTTTGGTTTTCAAAAAGATAAACTCTCCATTTCCAGTCTCTGAACCATAAAGCACCAGCTTTTCCAGAGCAATGAATCACCCAGTCTGTGTATAAAATGAAATATAATTTATGCTTTGCTAATTGAAATCAAATACAAAATTCAATTTCCTGTGGTTTCTAATGCTGACATTCGAATAGTTTATAAAAAAAAGTGTTATCAACCGGACTCTCTTGTTTGGCAGGCCACTCTGCTCCAGATCCCTGCTCCAGATCCCTGCTCCAGATCCCTTCTCTGGCTGCAGGGCTGAGCCCCAGGCACGACTGCCCTTTGTCCCAGTGTGGGATGGATGCTCCTGCCTGGGGGCTGCACTCCTCAGACAAAGATGGGTTTTTGGATCCACTGTCCCTCCTGTGTTGGGCACAATGGGAAGAACGGCCTGCCCAGAGAGGTGGTGGATTCACCATCCCTGGAGGTTTTTAAAAAGAGATTGGACGTGGCCCTTAGTGCCATGATATAGTAATTGGAGTTGGATCAGGGGTTGGACTTGATGATCTTGGAGGTCTTTTCCAACCCAAACTATTCTATGATTCTATGATTCTATGATTCTATGATTCTATGAATGACGGTGGCTCGATGGCAGTCGGGGACCCGAGGGCCTTCCCAGGAGAAGCTGGCCTGAGCTGCCCAGGGCAGCTCTCGGACCAGACCAGACCAGACCAGAGCAGTGCTGGGGTGGGCATGGAGACCTGCTGGGGGACACACGGTTCTCAGGGGCTTTCAAGCTCTGGGAGGTCTTGCTCAGAGCAAAACTGCTCCTGGTTAAGCTGTGGATGGGGTACAGCTGGCGGCTGTAACAGCCGGGGTCACACACAGCCACCAAACATCTGCCAGGTCGCTGGGACAGGGGTGTCCTCAGCCCCTCCAGCCAGTAGCCAGGGCCACCGGTCCCGCCACATCCCTGGGCAGGCTCCGCTCAGCACCATCAGGGCCAGCTCGCAGCGGCATCGGGGCTGTAGCACCTCAGGAACAGGCAAAAATTTCTGGATATCCGTCTGGTGAGGAGCCTGGACACTGGGCATCGATGAGCCCCTCATCCTCCAACTGAATCCATCAAGCAGCTTGCACCAAATTGTGTAACCACAGTTTTCACTTAGGAGCTGATCTGACATTTTAATAATGTGGGAAACACTGCAAAATTATGCCTATTACAGACTTCAATTTTCATGTAATAATTTTGGGATTTGTGGGTCTGTGAAAAACTGTGTTATGTCAGGAGCTGTTTTTAAATCTAATCAGGCGAATAGGAACTAACATGACGTTAGCAGGGACCTCGCGGTGCCCCTCCAGCGTAGCCCACGGTGCACATTTTCCAAATGATTTTAGCTCTTTAGCTCTTTTCTCACGCAGTCCGAGGCACCAGCACCACTTCCCGGTGTAACGAACCACACGACGGGCCATGAAACCCCGAGCGGGTTCAGCTCGTTACCCAGCGTAAGAGCGACTGCATTTGGGCAGCTGGGTCAGCGGGGATTGCTTCCTGCCTCCATCAAAGCTGGTCCTCCCACCGCCATCCCACGCTGCATCTCTGCTGCTTTCCAACAGCAGGGACCTGGCACCCCAAAGGGGACAGGGGACACGCACACGGTCACGCTCCACCTGGAGGTGTCCTTACCCCTTGTTAAAACAAAGAAAACAGCTGGCAATATCTGAGTGCTGTTAGAAACCCCCGGTGCGAAGGGGACATCCCACCAGCGGTAGCTTTGTGGTTTTCCTTTGTTCCCTCTCACTGTTTTCCCTCAGCAATGGAGGTGGCAGCCGTGCAGCTCTGTCAAAGCGCTGCCATCCTGCTCACCACTGGTTCGAGTGTGCAGTTCTCATCACATTGCTGGAGGATCCAGTTGGGATATGGGTTTATTCTACAGTTTCTATCAAGATTTGTGAATTCAGTTGAGCATGTGGCTTGGCCGTTTCCACTGGAAAGCACACACCTTGTGCACAGAGCAGAGATCACCCTGGGAATTAATTGGTTTTTTTGTAATTCTGAAGTAAAGATGAAGGCTGCTTCCCCATTTCGCAAACCCAGCTGTCAATAAGCAGCAGAGATCATGTTTTCAAATGAAGGGCAGTGCTAGGGGCCATGACCGTCAGCCCTGCCCTGTCCCCACGCCTCTGCCTGCTGTCACCCCGGGTTCCCACCAGAACGCCTGGCTCCAAACCGCGGTGCAGGGACAGCACGGCCGTGCCAGGAGATGCTGCGTGGGCACACGTGGCTCTGCACCGTGCCTTGGCAGCTTGGCCGGGTGGTGAGACCCCGGCTCACTCCGAGCAGGTCCCTGGGAATGGTCTTCGCTCTGGCTTCCAGGAGGAGCTGGGGGACTCGCTGAGCAGCCCGATAAAGCAGGAACGACTCGCTCCCACCACTGGAGCTACACCCATCCGTCGGAGGAGAATCGGGCCCAGCTGATCTGTGGCACTTGGTAAATACTAATTTTAGTGCAACAAGTAATTGAAATGTCTGGTGCAAATGAAGTTTCTGTACATAGTTCCTGTGCAGCATAACTGGCTTTATTCCTCCACACACAAACACCAGCGTGCCTGTGAACGCACGGGTCCTGAATTTACCGGGTCTGATACTGCTGTTTGGGCAAAACTAAGAGCCAGGGCAGGAGAAATCCAATCTCATGGTTTTTCCTAGTGCTGCTGGGTTTTGTGAGCCACCTTCCTGCCCAGCTGGCCATGGCTGGAGGTGCGGGTCCTGCCTGGCTGCCAGGGGACACCAGCAGCAAAATATCAACATGAAGCATCCCACCACCCCAAGGAGCCCCACTCCCTCCGCCACCTCCTCCTCCTCCCACCCTCCGATCCCTCAGCATCACGAGGCAAGAGTCCAAGTGCCACCCAAGGTGATGTGCCATTAAGGTTTCAGAGTAGGGAATGTGAGGAGGCTTTGGCTGCAACCCCGACAGCACAGAGCCTTGCGCTGGCAGGGCTGAGCCTCTCGCCTCCAGTGAGTTTTGGGTCTCTAATGGTGATCTGCATCTCAAAAGAAAAGAGCCTTTTTTTCCTGATTTTGTGGTTCTACTTATCACTTTCTTCCCGTTCCCACTGGAAGTCTTGGCCTGTCATTTGGTAAAACATGACATTGAAGGGTTTGTAAAACTTCCGCAGTCTGTGGATGACGTCTGGGTCTATTTTGGGGTGAGTTCGACCCTTGGACTTGCCCAAGCACCGGGGAGCACTGCTGTCCTCTGGCTTCTTTAGACAGGGGAACCCCTTGGTTTTATTAAAATAAAAATGTTTCTCTGTCACAATCCTCTTGAGGCCTAGGAAGTCCTGGACCTTGGCCATTTCCCCAGCCGGGTCAGTGATGAGCCTCTCACCACTGACAAAAAGGATCTGGGAGAGGGGGAAATACTGGAGCCAGTTCTCCAGGTGCAGGGCATAGATCCCGATGCGGATGGCGCTCCAGGAGGCATCGATCAGCCCCAGGGTCCGGTTCTTGAAGGCCAGCACCTCAAAGGTGGGGATCTCTGGCTTCTTGGAGAGCGTCTGTGTGTAGTCCGAGATGGCCCGGGTGACCGGGTTCCTCACCACCACGATCAGCTTCGTGTCCTTGGCCATGGAGTGAATGCGTCTGGGGGCCTCATTGGTCACGAAGTAGCTCGGGGTCTTCTCCATGGTGATCTGGCCGTCCAGTGTCTTGGGCATCACATTCCTGCGCAGAAGCAGAGGAGGAGTGGTTAGCCAGGGGCCAGGCAGGGGCGGACACCTCTGTGTCCCTCCTGCCCCATGCAGGTGTTGGCGGGAAGTTCAGGAGGAGGGATGCTGCCACACCCGTGGGGACCAAAGCACTTCTGGCTTTGTTTCTTCTCAGACCCTGGACATGTTGGGCATCTGAAGTGTTAAATCAGCCTTTGTGACACATTATACAGTCAAGTCGCCATAGGCATATGTAGACAAAAGTTAATTGACAATAAACCTGTACAATACCTGTCTGTTCAGCAAGCCATCTGCTTCCATTTGCTCAATTAAGCCTATTCACTTCAGAGCCTTGTACCAGAGTGGTGCAGTTAGGATTACACAAGACCTTTTTGTTATGATGACATGCTTTTAAATGTCTCAGCTAATAAAACTTAATACAGAATAAGATCCCTTGCTTCTAGTACAATAATTAAATTTATTTACTATCTTGTGCGTGAGAAAGAATGACTTTTCTTTTATCTCTAATTCACATGCTCTGTCAATAATTAATTGCTGCTGGGTTTTGAGCTTCCTGTGCAAGCACTTTTATTAGCCAAAAGGAATTTGCCTACTGGATAAATTAGCATGTAGCAAGACTTTCCTGGATAGCGTATTACCATATTGTAAAATGAAACTGCAGCGAGATAGCGTTTATATCTAAGAAAATGAAGAGGTAAATGCTTGTCCCAGCTGCCCCCAGTTACAGATTATCACAGCAGGCCAGAAGGTGTTACCTGGTGTCCCCGCAAGAGCATCACAGCCTCTTTCACAGCCCCTCGGCCGGCGGGTGCTGGGGAGGCTGGAGGGCAGAGTCACAGGCACTGCCCACCTCCTGCTCCCGCACCTGCTATGTCATCCGCAATAGAGATGTCCAAGTGGGTAACTGCCTGGATCCCAAAAACCCTTCTCCACAGGGATGTAGAGGGGAGACAATGTAGAGGAGAAATACAACCTCATTTACAACCACATGTACAACTACATGTACAACTGCATGTACAACCACATCTGCTGGAGCGCTCTCATACAAGGCTTTCCATAGCCGTGCAAAGACTTTACAGGTACAGTACAGATGCTTTTCAAGTGTGTTTTAACAATATTTTTATCTAAGATAAATCAACTTTTCATATACTCCTGCACACCCACATGGAGCGGGGTTTGTTTAACCTGTTGTTGGCTCCTCTGCCCCGCAGCCGCGGTGCTGCTGCCTGGGAGGCAGGAGGAGGAGCGGTGTCACTGCCCTTGCGGCACTGGCCAAGCCTCCTGCAGCAGACGTGGGGGATGGCGACGCTCAGGGTCTTGCAGGATTATCCCTTTGCATTGCAACTATTTTTAGTACAAACATATGGCGAGGAAACAACGTGAATGAGCTGGAAATGGTTCTGTAAGAGCACCTTGGGCATCAGCGACCACAGTGATGCTGACGTCAAACTGCAGAGCCCCAGGAAACAGCCATCTGAGGAATTACGCAGCTGAAGTCTACAAGCAGAAGTGGCTGTCAGGTAAGGCCAGGCTAGATGTGCCTGTCAGTATTGCCTCATATTTGTGACTGCTAAATGCATGGGCTTGCTTTACACCTCCCCGTAATTTGTGTATTAATTGCTGGTGGAATCCATCCAAGGGGGCTTGTTTGGCCAAGGTGCTGCTGGAGGAGGTGCTGGGTCTCCTGACGGCCATCTGAGTAGCAGCGATGTGCAAGGAGCGAGGATCAGTTGGAACGATGCATCTTGAGGTATTTTATCTTCAAAAAAGTCTGAACAAATTAAGAGACACGCAAGCACTTTGGGACTGCAGACACTGCAGAATTACAGACTGACTTTCCAGAGGGAAACCAACTCCCAGATTTAACAGCCCTGTAGGAAGGAAGCCTCTTTTATGGCCACCCACATCACAGCAAGGCCCACAGCGTGACCAGGGAGTCCTCAGATTCCCACTGCTGTACAACGCACTGCCCTTCAGCTGAGTGTGAGGTTGTGGTGGGAAGTGTGAGAAAAGTGCACAGCAGACGAGAGCGGGAGGTTGAGCCTGTGGGCTGGCAGCACTTTCCCCGAGGAGGACTGGAGCAGAAGTTCTCCCCGATGCTCTCCGAAAGCATCTGATGGGCAGGAGAGCATCGCTGATGGCTGGAGGGGGCCTCCCCTCCCCAAGACCACCCAGCACCCACGCTCCAGCTCGGCACCCTGCAAGGGCATCCCACCCAACTCCTGGAGCGGCACCAGGGCTCACCCCCCTTCTCAGTCTCTGCAAATATAAGCGTGGCTGTGTAAAATTCCCTGCTTTATTTTTTTTTTTTTTTAAATATTGCTTAACAAAGTTGGAACTGAAATGCTAAAACTTCAGCGTGGAAATTAGGTCTTGGTCTTGATGTGACAGTGGTGAAGGGAAGGAGGAGAGCAGGAGAGGGGAGGGCTGGGGGCTACTGGGGCTGCACTGGCAGCACCGCTCTGTGCGGCTGCTCTTGCGGGTGCCAGTTGCTGGTGGCGGCGGAGGAGAGCGATCCACCTCCAGTGAGGACCAGGGCCACGATCATGGGGTGCCTGTTCCCCATCGCAGGTGCGATGCGCCGGTGGGACCCAGCCCTGATCCCATGCCCACAGCCCACACGGCACACTGAGCTGTCTTGTGAAAGCTGTTCAGAGAATTGGCACTGAGGAGCGGGCCAGCAAGGACTGCTGAACAATGACTGCCTTTCCCTGCTTCCAGGATCTCCCTTCGGATCAGGGGTTTTGCTCGGAGCACACTCTGCTGCAGCAGCTCCAGCACTCCCCGTCACCACCATCCCCTGCTGCACCCACTCACCTGCCCGGAGAGGCACCGGCAGCGCAAGGAGATTCCTGGCTGTGGTTCCCCCTACTGTGTCCCACCTGGCCCTGGCCTGGCAGAGGGATCACAGCATCACTGTCTCCCTCCCGCTGCTTCATCACCCTTCATCCACCCAGATGCCAGGAGGCAAAGCCACTGCTGGCTGTGCTGGCTGAGGTTTAGTCACCGCAGTCGTCTGCGGGTCCAGCGAGCACAGCTCAGGTGAGGTGCCACATCTCATCAGGGTCTGGGCGCCAGCCCTTAGGGCAGCATCTGGCACTGGAAACCACTTTGGTTGGAGGTGGTTCCAGCCCTGCTGGGATGAGCACTGCACACACTGAGACATGATCCCTGCCCCAAAGAGCTTCCAGAGGAGTGGGAGCCTGCAAGGAGGAGCCAGAGCCTGTAGCTTCCTTGGGGTTGTGTGATCAGCCTTGGAGAGCACACAGAGGAGCAAGGGAAAGAACTGAGACCAGGGAATAAAGGCACTTCTAATCCAGTGACTGTGCCCAGGGCGCTCCCAGAACAGGTTTCTATTGAACCATTAATTATCAAAATCAATGTGTTATGCTTGTGTTCCTTGCTCCACAAAATATTTATCATCAGGTAGAGCTAGTTATTTGTATGTGTTTCCGTTTTAACAGATTCTATCTCAAGCTAGCTGCCCACCACGTTTTGCCCTGCTGCTCGCTGTCCTGTACTAACACCTGGAGCAGCTCCAGAGTGCCGGAGCTGCCAGCCCCATGGACGGAGGTCCCACAGCCGGGGTGCGGGACGAGGGTTTTCCCGACAGGTTGCCTGTTTCTGACACTGGTCAGTAATGGGAACTGCCAAGGAAGGACCAAGAATCTCTCAACCAGCTACGGGATTGCTCTGCCCATGCTCCTTTCCTCCCGATTCCTGTCACTGAAGATTCAACGAAGTCCTGAAGCAGAAAGTTTTAATATTGTTTCCTGGTCTCTGTAGTTAGTGGCAGCTCTAGATATGGTTGCCATGCACAGAAGTGTCCACTTCCTCCTGTGTCTTGCTAAATTCTGTGCTCAAATACATCAAGCAGCAACAGGGCCTGTTGATCCATCCCTTGGTGCTTGGGCAGTGTTTCTCCTCCGTGGTGGTTCAGTATTTCCTGCTGTCCTGCTCCGCAAGCATGGGAGAATGGAGCTCTCTGCCTTCTCCCTTTATCCCAACCTTCATCTTACACCACGGTAAAGTTTGAAAGGGCTGGACCAGTTCCAGTGCTCTCTTTGCCAGCTCACCACAGGATTACTGAGGGTTTCAGGTCATGGCACGTTCTCCTGAAGCATCCCTTCCCTGGTAGGGTCATGTTCGACCCCAAGCTGATAACGGGGGTGAAGTTCTGGGGAGGCTGACCTGGGGCTGTCACTCCTGCTCCTGCTGGGAGCAGCACATCAAGACCAGAGGGTCAGATGGGACCAACGGGACTGTGTGAACTT